TGTTTTCAGATTATGATCATTACAAAACTTATTTTTATGAATACTTTTTTGTTAACCACTTTAAAGTGACTTTATTATTTTTATATTCACGTGTACAATCATATTTTGTTACCAAAAAGGTTTAATCTAAAAAGTTTCATTGCCTTGCATTTCACACTGAGTTGCCTTGTGTCTCACTGTGCAACACACTTGTTTCTAATTAATATTATCATAAAACTTGTTTTTATATATAGTTCTTTGCTAACCACTAAGAAGTGGCTTTGTCATTTTTATAAATGCAAGCCCAATTATGTTTGTTATCAAAACAGTTAATGTAAAAAGTTTTCTTACCTTGCATCCACGATGCATGTATATACCAATTACATTTTTTGTCTTTACACTTGGTTGTAACTTTAGTACATTCGTTCTTAATGTATTTAAAATCAAAATTCATTAAGGATTGCATAATTGACCAATGCCTCTTTAAAATGTGATGGGTTTGTACAAATGGGTGGATTTGGATTAAGTTGCAAATAACTTCAATAAGCAAAGTCATTGAAATACAAAAGTTCAAATGATAAACAATAGAAAACATATACCCTTAGTGTGGTTATGTGAATCATTGTTATTTGAAAACATAGTATGTTTTTCTTACTACTTTTTCGACAATAATGTAAAATAATGGTGAGACAATAAACAATAGAAAACATATACCCTTAGCATTTGGTGTGGTTTTGTGAACCATTTTTTTACGAAAACAAAGTTTGTCTTACCACTTCTTCAACAACAATGTAAAATAATGGTAAGACAACCATTTTTCAGGGACTAATAGTTTCTTCCTAGGTAAATTGTAGTGAGACAAAGAATAGTATTTTACTATGGCTTACAACCGCTTTTGTAGGTGATTGATAGTTTATCTTAAGTGAGATGTTGGAAAATTAATTCTAGTAAAAGAAGCCAAACATCAATGAGGGTTTAGGAGCACAAGTTCCTCTTTGATTAGGTTTTACGAACAGAGGGGAAAAAAAGACAACAAATGATTTATGTTGCCAAATTTGATCATTTTGAAAATATATCCTCTTGCCCACTTATTTCTCTAATGGGAATTTTTTGTAAAATTACATCCTCTATTAGTATACTTAATGGAGAGGGGATTTTTGTTGAAATTTAAAAGTTTAGGGGGTGCTTGTCACAAATGAAAGTTTAGGAGATAGATGTCACCACCACCAAAGTATAAGGAGCAATTTATATTTTACCTTAAGATTAATTAGTGTCTTAGGCCTAGTATGCAGTTTGGCTCATGATCATCCCGACATTTAATCCTTTAAATGCCACCTAACTCCCTTAGGTTGTTTTTGGTTCGAAGGAAAATCTTCAAACCTTAAAATGGCTTAGCTCATATGTGTTATTTACAAAATTGCCACCGTTATCCTTATATGAATTCTATCATTTTGTATCTATTCTTTTTGTCCTTTTGGTTACGTTTGGTTGTGATGAAGCACAATCTGCTCACCTCCTCGTGTTTGATGATGTGGCTTGGATTGGGTTCCAACCCGACAGTGCCAAGTTGCAATGTCGGGTTTCGAGCTGTGGATGCGAGCTGTAAGGGAAGAAGAGTTAAAGTGCCTGGGTAGGTTTTACCCAATGATACACTCTGATGCTTTAGTCAGTAAGTAGGTCTAAGTGAGAATATATGAAAGGGCGTAAGATCTTACGTTCACATACCTTTTGGAGAGACCCTGGGGTCCTTTTATAGCTATATGGGGTTCGGGTGTCATCAAGCAACGTCTCTGAGTCTACTGTGGAGCTGTTTCTACAGTTTGGGGGGTGTTGGGCTATTTGTTGCTATACTCGTGTGGCGGTTACAGGTTGCCCACGGGTCACGTGGTGTACAGTTCAATGAGTTATTCCTACAGTYGCGGTAACAATGTTTGTGTGGGCGCTTTGTACGGAACAATTTCGATGTGAGCTGTTGTTGTTGGTGGGCCGAGCTCGCCTCAGCTTGACCAAAATGTTTACTTTCCAAGTTTTCTCTACATATGAATCGCTACCCCAAACCCTTATGATCTTTTTTTTTAAATTGATTTATTTTCCAAAGTTTCCTTTCATATCAATTGCTCAAAGTTTAAGTTGCAACTTTAAATTCTTTTTTTGCTATCTTCATAAAGTTTGTATTATTTTTCTATAGAAACCAGCCTCGCTAGTAATTGCATAGGCATTTTAGACATTTTCATGCCTCTTTTTAGAGAGTTATAATAAAGGGGGTCTACCTGCAATTGTGTCACAAAGTTTAGGGGAGGTGATTGCAATTACCAAACTTCAAGGGAGGTTTTAGTAACAATCCAAAACTTCAATGGAGGTTTTAGGAACTTACCCAAATATTAGTTGTGAAAGAGTAACTTGGGTGGTGATTGGTATCATGGTGTTGCATGTGTTTTGGAGCCTTTTTTCCACCACGTAGACGCCACATAGACATTTTCACCAAAATCTTATTTGGTTGGTTTATCAAGTACAACTATTTTGTACCGACTTTTTCATGGTTAATATGAAAGTGACCTTTAGAGAAAAGACTATTTCATTTGGACATATTCCTACTTAAGGTGTGTTTATGCAGTTGTTGTCTATAATTAAAAACAACAAACAATTTAACATTGTACTTTGTCCTAAAGTATTTTTTACATTTTCCAATGTATGAATCCTGCACAACACAACTTATAACACTACAATATCAAACATCCTCTTTATGTAGTTATTTGGATGGTGCAAAAATAATGTACCATAACTTCCAAAATAAATTGCAAGTAAAAAATAATATCCACCATGCTTTATCAATGATGCTTTACAACATGAATGCTTTTGTTTTCACTTATTTAAGAGTTGCCATGCAAATAAAAATGGAAACACCTTATTGATCCATGTTTTTTGCTTTGAGAGAAGCAAAATAAGTTAGTTTTTTTTTTCAATGAGTAATTCATGTTTTTGAAACCATCAAAATGATATTTTTTAAAACAAAAAGTGGATTTTGAAATTGTAAGCCCGATGATGAGGACAACAATGGTTCAACTCCAAAGATCCAAATGAAGAAGGTGATTTGTAGAGGTTGGAGAGAGAGAAAGAGAGAGAGAGAGAGAGAGAGAGGAAGATGGGAGGAAAGAGAAAGAAAACCTAAGTCCTTTCTTCTCCATAATGGGTTAAAATGAGTATTATGTAAGTGGGTCCCCATATGGGTATGGGGCCATATTTATAGTTTTGAACCTCCTCCTACAATATTCTTATACTTTCCTCCTTGCCCATTTTGTGTTTTTGTTTAATTAATGCATGTGCTCTTTATTACCATTATAGAATATTCTTGAATATAATAATTTTAGAAAGGCCCAACTCTTGAATTGTCTATAAATGATTAGTAGATAATTGACCTAACTCACAAAGGAGAGTGGAAAACTTAAAAAGATTTGATCATAAGTGAAGTCATTTAAAAGAACGTAAGTTTAGCTTAAATAGGTAACAAAATGAGAGAAAGTAAATTGAGATGGTTTGGTTGCTTGCAAAAAAAGTCCATTTACAACACCTTTAAGGGAAATGTTGTGTTCGATATCATTGCTCCTTCTATCTAAAATGTTTTAGGTTGATCAATACAAATTGGCACGCAACTATTATTTGAGTTTGTTTATAATTGAATTAGGCATACCTTAAAAATAGGTGTGTGGGACTAATTAATGACATTTATAGTTGAAATGCCAATTTGACATTGCTTGCTTTTCTTTTTTTTTTCTTTTTTTTTGTTTTTTTTTTAAGGAGGGGGGACGGGTGAAGTTTGATTGTTTTAGCTGAATTGACTCTCAAATGCGATGTGACAATACATACCTTACAAATTTGTTATCATCAATCCAAAACATTTCARTAACATTGGTACCAAAAACAACCAAACTGATTTGCAATGAGTTGTATTATTTACAAGAGSTAGGGACAAACCAAAAAGGACATTAGTTGAAATATAAAGAAATGATTTTAGACACTCACAATTTAAAAGCTAACATGACACTGAGTAGAACAGAATAACAAACATGATTCATATAGTTGATCCCATAGGTAGGGACATGGTTTTAGATGATAGTGACAATGTTACAAATTAAAGATTAATGTGTATGATTTTGTTTCAAAAGAATGGGCTACTACTCATAATACCCTCTATGGCCTTGAGTTGAGTCCAAATATTAGTTTAATTTTATTGGGAGTTCTACATATTAAATCCAAGGCAAAACGAAGTAAAACCCAAATTACAAAATAAACCAAAATTTCATACATTTGCATCGGTGTAAATAAAATTGGAGTGTAAATCAATAGAATCTAGAGAATTAATGCAACCTAATACAAATAAAAATCAAGCAAAATCTATGATGCATGAACTACACCGTAAAGCCATAATGTGAACCAGTGATAAGACAACATATCACAATTGACATCAATGCTATTATAAAGATGATACTTACCTTGATTTTGGTATAAGTTATAAAAGTTAAATGCGACTACATAATGCCAACTTGTATCTTTGTCATTGACTTGGACATATGCATATCACCTTTCTTTATACTAGTATTTAACAAGTTTTTATTAAAATTTTGATGGTAAATATACCTTAAGACATGTGAAACAATTAAAAGTAAGTAGATTGTGTGACTTTTCTAATGTGATTCGTTAAAACCTTGATTTACTTGTGCCAAGTTATAGTTGATTCTTAGACTCCATTTGGAAGGAATATAAATACAAATATATACAATATAAATACATAGAAAATAATACAAAATACAAGATTTTGCACTCTACGTATTTATATTTCTACCCTTTCCAAACTAGCCTTAATAACCTTAGATTAAGACTGTGGAGTAAATTTTATTTGAGTGAAGGGCAATTACGTCTTACGATTTAAATGACTGTTAGAGGGGAATACTAGAAATCGACCAAGAAACAAATACATGTATATAAATAAATTAATTAATAAATTAAAAATCTGAAATCAACGAGAGAAAGAGAGAGATGAGAGAACATGGAAACTGATGCACGGTTAAGGCTGACAAGAATTTAGTATCATCCATCGCACGGCGTCGAAACTCGCAAGGAAAGAGACAGGTTACAGTTATCTCTCAGTCATCTCTCTCAATTCTCCACTCTGAATTCTCTTTCAGCCCTCCTTCCCTCTCGATTTCCATCTGTGTTCATTGGGATTGGCTTCCCTCTTTAATTATGGTACATTCCGGCACACGCCTCCTCCTTCGCCCTAGAAATTTTCAATCCTATTATTCTTCTCGTTCAATGTTGTTGTCTGCAAATTCGATTCCAATGCCCTAGACATTCGAGACGGTTCCCTACGCTTCCATGGAGGAGGAGAAGGTCAGTGGCGGGAACTCGTCGAGGGTTTCTTCTTCTTTCCCGCCGGCGGCCGGCGGGGCCTCTTCGTCTTCACATGCTTCGAAGAATGGACGCTGGTTTACCGTAGAGCTTAGACCCGGGGAGACTACTATAGTGTCTTGGAAGAAACTCATCAAGGAAGCTAACAAGGCTAATCAACCTCCTCTCGCTTCCGAGGCTCCTTCAGGTGCCCACCCCGCCCTCGAGTCTCGTATTGCTCCGGTAAGGGTTCTATTTTGATAGTTCTCATTATTTTGGTTTATGACAGCAATGGAAAGTTGAAGCAAGTTCGTTTTTTGAAGCTCTGTGTTGGAATTGTCGTCTATTTTATTTTGACTGAGCTGTGTCTGTAATTGCAATATAGCAACTTTCGTGGTCCAGTGGAACAAATTTGGTACTTTTGTTGGTGCTCTTTAGTGGCTTGCCGACTGTGGTTGATTGGGCTGTTAGTTTTAGAGAGTTTTTCTTTGGTTTTTACCGGAATGGACGTATTCCTAGTGAAAATCACCGGTGCTATATGGAGTACAAAATTATTTTCATACATGAAGTTAAATCTTAGTTTTTTTTGTTTTTGTTTTTGTTTTTGTTTTTGTTTTTGTTTTTGTTTGTGTAATTGATTATTTGGTTGATCAACTAGAATCACATGAAGTCAAACTACCCCTCGTTTTTTCTAGTTCTCTTATTTTCCTATTCCTACCAAAAAAGGGTCCTAGAAGGGCTAGGAGTAAACAAAAAGTGACATGGGTAATAGCATTTAACAATAGATATGACATTAAGCAAAATAGAATGGTCAAATAAGATTCATTTAACCAACTCCATATAATTGGGATAAGGATTGGATGACAATGATGATTTAATATTTTATAGTTAAATAAAGAAATAAAGAGGAAGCATCTTCCCTTGTTTTCTTCCCCTTGCGAGCACAACTACAATACCTTCAACAATTCTTGGATTTCATGTAAATGGTGTTGAGATTTATCCTCTACATTCCCTTACCTATAAATGTTGAGCTTGTAAATATAAATCAAATATTTCCACCAATACCAACACTTTAAACCTTGCTTATCTTGTTATACTTATTAATTTTAAAGTACTCCTTTGCCAGTTTTCATCCAAATAGACATCATTTGTATGTGTCTTTATCTGCGAGAGCATGATTATGTGGCATATTTTGTATATGGAGTAGTGCATTGTGCTATTACTGCGAGGGTAGTTGGAACTCTGATTTGCTTCTGTTTCTTTTTTTTTTTTTGTTATATAAGTCCCGCTCATTTATTATGAAAGTATTCCTCATTTGCCATTACTTGCATGATAACATGTGTGGGTTCATGGTGACTGGTGAGGCTTTAGTCTGTGTGGATTTTGAAAGTTGCAGATAGTGATGCGATGAAAATGGAGCTGAAAGATAGGAGGATCACTTCTAATCTGGTGATCTAAGGAGTTAGGGTTTCTGCTGAGCTGAGAATTGAGTGAGGAGAACCTGATTCTCCTCAGAGTGGGTAATACTGGTGGTGGGTGCTCTGACACCCCCTGAGGGTTTCTGAATATTCTAATCTGTTATTCTGATGGGTTAAGTTGTCTGTAATTCTGTATTGGGATCTGATCCCCTTTTGTTCCTGCTCTGGAAGTTCTGGATTGTCTTTACTTGCACACTTTTAGAAAGTCACGAGGAAAGTGAGTTTGGGAATATCTTTTGTCAGTGGTGTTTTGGTTAGTTATGCCACCTAAACTCAAGTCATTATGAGAGAGACACACGAGAAATGTGGCACTAGACTAAGTGTCTTTCCCAGGTCCACACATGTTCCTCATCATGGATTCAGTCACATGGTACTGCCCGTGTTATTGTTTTGCATACTAAGATGCATACAGAATGCTTAGAGTAGTATATCACAGTGCTTCAATGGCCAAGGCGTCTGTTCCACACACCCATTCGTGCTTGCCAATGGTGTTGTGCATGTTTATGCTCTTACAACATCACATAGTGTATCGACTTCAATTTAATTTGCATCACATTTGCAAGGCCATTCTTAAACTTGTTATTTACAAGTGAACTTACTTTAGTATGGATGTATATAATGTTGGACCCTTTTTGCACCACCCCTGGGATGTTCTTTTAGTGAATGACTAAGTTGTGCTTTATCTTTTGTAGGGTCAACCTGTGGAAAGTGAATTGAAGGATGCACCTCCTGCAAATCGTTTTAGTGCTGTTATAGAGAAAATTGAGCGCCTCTATATGGTAGAGATGATACTTGGTTCTTCTTTATTATTTTGAGTTTCATTGATTCAATAATTCCAGATTCTGGATAAGATATTCTTAGTTGGTTTCTCATAAGAGTATATTGATAGGGGTGATCGTGGACTGGTGTGTGTGTGTGTGTATATCTGGACACAAAACCTAGCTCAAGCCCAGAAATTTGCTGGTTCAAGCCCCTAGTCTAAGACCTTGCTGTTTTCTGAATTATGGCATTTGGAATTTGACTATTTATTCTTTTCAGGGTAAGCATAGTAGTGATGAGGAAGAACTGGATGGTGTTCCTGATGATGATCAATATGACACAGAAGATTCTTTTATTGATGATACTGAGCTGGTTGGTATCATTTTTTTTTCTTGTAGTTTAATTGTTATAACTGGATACAAAAAATAACATTTGTAACATTGAGTGTATTTGATTTTTTTTCCTTTTATTTTCCAAGTTAGTATCATCATGGTTAATTGTGCATGAATTCATGGAAAATGTTTATTTTATAATATGAACTACTGTGCCTAGTTTTCCTGTCAATTAATTTTCTGTTTTCCTGCCCATGGCCCAGTAGAATTGGCTATAAGGCATACCTTTTTGAGGGGAGATGTGCATTCCAATTCATGCACTTGTTGCATGTTAGACTATCATGTAGTAGCTGTTTGCCATCTATTTACTCATTTTCTTCATGCTTTCTGCATACAATTAACTGTTTAGTTGAATTGCATGGACCTCATTGATATCATTAAAATGCTATTATGAATGCCCCTTTGTCTCTTCTGCAGGATGAGTATTTTCAAGTTGACAAGTCAGCAACGAAACACATTGGTTTCTTTGTTAATAGGGGGAAGTTGGAACGCATGTGAGTTTCTTTTGTCCCTTCCTATTAACAAGCTTTCTTTAGTTGACAGTACTTTGTCATGTTCTAGACTATGTCTACTATTTTCTCTCACCTTGGTTTTGATAAAGGAGATTGCAGAGACCTCCTCTGTAGGAAAGAAGATTCAGCACTTCTATGTTCTCCATTATTGGAGGGATATTCAAATCTGGTTCTCCCATTCCTAGTTTCAACGATAAAACCATATTAAGAAGGGCATTTCTTAGGAAGAGGAGTTGAATGAATGACAGGCAAATAAATAAATGAATAAAGGAAGGCAAGGCAAAAAATGAATGAATTACTTTGCAAAAAAAGTATAACCAAAAGATCGGTTATCCAATGATGGGTTTCATTAATGGAATGGGAAAGAGTAACAATAAAAAAGAACAGGTAAATGCATGACATGGGAGCTATCATGCATGAAATAGATGCCCTTTTGTTGCTTCATATTTTTTTTTTCTTTCATTCTTTTTCTAATAAGGTTTCAAAAGAAAACCCTAGCTATGCATTCTAGTTGTATGTTTGATCAAATTTGCTTTCAAAAGAAATAGATACCCCATGGAAGCTATCCCATCTGTTGTTGGAAATCAGGGAGCTGGCCTCTTATTTACACTGCAGTTTTAGATGGATACCTAGAGAATTAAATCAAGTGKCTGATAATCTAGCTAAATCTGGGCTGGGAAAGGATTTTTTGTATAGCTCCAATATGCTGCCTTCCTAGAGGGCTGTCTCTTTGCTTTTGTTGTGCTTAAAAGGCTTGTACATCCTCTCATGTACATCCCCCCTTTTTTGAATACTTAATGATTTCAGTTATCTGCTCTCTCTCAGTCTCAAAAAAAATTGCTTTTTAAGGTTCAATGACTCAAACATTTGACTAGACATCTATGGGGGCCTGTCTCTGAACTGGTTAGTGATCGAAAGGAGTTTTTGAGGTGGGGAAATTACTAGTAGTATTATAGGTTTGGACTGTTTGGTGGATACGCTATTTGCATTCACAAATCAAACAAGAAGACTGATTGAATTGGAATCTGTTAGGGGGCTTGGGTTCTTGTTGGGTGGCGGATTTGGGTTCTTGGGGCTTGAAAGGGAGTCAGTTTTGTTTGTTTGATGATCAGGGTTTCGTTGTTTGTTTGTATCGCTTTTGTTTCCTATTGTAAGGGGTTTAGTTTTTGAGGGGTCGGCCTGTTTGGGGTGTTTTGGCCTGGCCAGGTTTTCTTTTACTTTAGTTGGGTTTTCATTGGGAATTTCTTTTCCCTCGGGTGATTGCATACAAGCTAGGTTTAAAGAAAAAAAATTCTTTATCTTAAAAAAAATGCTATAATCTTGCTTGTATGTAGCAAGTATTACCATCATCTTGTATGCAGTTTGTAACAAGCCTTTTGTATTACTGTTCCCCTTCTTGCGAAGGCTTGATGATTGCACTTGTTTTCCTCTCTCTTCTATCAATACCCTTTTTAGTTTCCTATAACAAAAAGAACTTGGCAACTTGGAAGAAGTCAATGGGGATGGCAATCTTTTTAGAGATCCGAAGGGAAACTCTCAAACTTTCACCCATCTATTTGGTACTAGAAGCAGATTGAAGTGAAAGTGAGGTGTTGCTTCATGTTTCCTAACTTGTAGATATTATTTCTTAGATCCTTTTGGTTGTTGAATGGGACTTCTATCGTCAGTTGAGTTAGTTGATCTTGGATCCAGTGAACAAGGTATTCAACTTGGAAGCCCATAATCCATAATATTTGCTAAAGACTTTTGGCCTATTAGAGTGGTCTCTGACTCATTCAATGACTCTCTATGAGTCTCCCTTCATTTATTTGGTCAGTAATAGGGTGGATTTGAGCCAAGATGAGCCAAATATTTGGCTATTCGATCTCGGCTTGCCAAAAAAACATGAGGCTCGAGTTTGATCTTGAGCTTGAATTTGGCTTGACTCAAAAGCTCATATATTCGAGCTTAGTTTGGCTTAGCTCAGGCTCGTTTGCAAGCCAAACTTCCTATAAAAAAAATTATACATGTAAAATTATTTATTCTTTTACATGTAAAAAGTATTTATTATTTACATGTAAAAAGATAAAAATATTAGGCTTGTGAGCCTCACAAACCAAGATTCATTGGGCTCAATCTCAGCATGAAGCTAGGTTTAGACCGGACTGACTCAAGCTTTTCACGAGCTGAGCTTGAGTAGCTCATGAAAAGCTTGATTTGTGTCCACCCCTAATTAGTAACCATGAACATCTTATATTAAAGGATAATAAAATAAAAACTTCTCTTGTATCTTGAAAAAAGATAGAAAAAAGTCGTACAAACATCTCAAAGGCTGACAGAGAACATTAAATTTCTATTAGACCTTAATTTACAGAAATAGCCAGACCTGGTGTACCCCATAGAAGGTGATCCCTAGTTACTCCATTTCTTGCAAGGACATCCACTATTATTTTAGCTGATTGGGGTGTCCATCTGAATGAGCAGTTCTGGTTGGATGCCAGCAAAATAGCTTCTCTAACCAGCTTATTGGAGTACCCAAGGCCCTTCAACCTTCTATTGTTCTTGGCTAATGTATTTTAGATAAATAGTGTACAAATAGATTGAACAAAAAGAGCGAAACCTGAAGTACAACATACTTCCCCTAAACTATACCCCTACCATTGTGCACTTTTTAACAGCACATGCCTTGTTGGATGAAGTATGATATATTGGCATATTGGCTTACAATTTGCTTGATTTAAAAAATAACAAAAAAGTGTTTGTTAAGTGCTGGTATTTTTATTAAGCTGAATTTTCTATTGTTTTAACTTTTTTTTACTTCATTTTAAACTATCCTAAAATGTTATCATCTGTCCATATGTGATGCATTTTCCGTTAGTGACAATCATTGGTGATCTTTTTCTATTAATGATTGACTTGAAACTATGATAATCAAATAAGTTGTATCGAATGCTTGAGTTTCGTGTGTCACGTTTTCTTTTGTTTTATGGCTTCTAGAAATGAACCTGTTGCTTCACCTGACTACCAACCAAAGAAACGCAGAAGGAAGGATCCTGCAAAATCTCGTGGTGAGAAGGACGGTGAGCATGTATCAAACAGAAATGCAAAAGATAGTGAGCATCTACCAAGTAAGCATGCTAAAGTGGGTAATGTGAGGATGAAAGCTGCTGCACGGACAGCACCATTGGTAGGGACCAAATCTTATGGTTCTTCTCAAAGTTTAGCCACTATTAGTGAGTACTATGAAGATGAGAAAGTTCAGAATCAATTGAATTCTCTAGGACCTTCCAAGAAGAAGTCTACTGATTCTAATACTAAATTGGAGAATCCTAATTCATCGAAGACTTCTAATAGGGATGCTTCTATGTTTCCAATAGAAGCAAAGAATATTGAAAAACAGAAGAGTGGAATCATGCAACCTAGAGAGGTTGGTAATAAATTGAAAGTTCCAAGTGTGCCCTCTGATGCTGTCCATCAGATATATCGGGATAAAGGTGCTTCCACTCAGATTGAACCTCAACCCGGCAGACAATTGAATGATATGACTGAGATAGAGCTCTCCACCAAAGTTAGGCAGAAGGAGAAGAATAGCAGTAACCAACTGCCTGACCTTAATTCCTCTGGGATCAAGTACCCAGTGCAGACTGCTGTAAGTAATCATCAATTAAATATCTATGGTGCTTGATTTTCTGGTTTTTCCATTTGCATAGTTGTTTGCTTAATTGAAAATTAGCAAGGCATGCTGATAACTGTTTTTTTGTTGCCCATGTTTGAATTATTTGTGTCGGCTTGTGCAAACTGCCACATGTATTTACTTAACACTCATTGATTGATTGGGGAACAACTTCTTTTCTTTTTTGTTTTGTGAATAAATTTTTATTTATCAAAATGAAATCAGTATTGAGATTGGAATCTCTAATTTTCACAATCTTTCTGAATAAAAGCATCTCATTGTACAATTTCAGCACACCTTTTTTTTCATATTTTGATCAAAACAGTGTTTATTAATTTTCTAATAAAACTGAAAATTGTATCAACAGAAAGAGAGGGGAAGTCTTGAGTATCTGCTACCTGTGTATGTCCTCTTGTGCACTCTTTGTTCCTTTTTATCCAGATAGGTAATAGTGATTTAGCTAATTGAATATAATTATAGAAAATTAAGTTAGATGGTCTTTGCAAAAGGACCCAGTCAACTATATCTAAGATCTAGTATCATGAGGATGTATATCAAATATAAAGACAAAAAATTCAATATTTTGGTAAAGTAAAATTTTATCAGAAGCAAAACATATACAAGTACGATTGTTCAGAATTCTATCATGTATTTGTGGATAAATGTTAGTAAGATACACTGGAAACAACTAGTTTGAGTGGGGTTAGATTTCTGTTCCTCATAAAAATTCCTTTTCGTAAATTAATGATAACAGTGATGATGGATTCTTCTGTGAGCTAACTTTTTGCTAATTGAAATTTTACCTAATTGTGATCAGAAGATTCCATCCATGCATGCAAGGGAAGGTTCTAGTGTTAGGCCAAAAGGTACAATGCTTGAAAGGGCCATTAGGGAGCTGGAGAAGATTGTTGCAGTGTGTAAGTTTGGCAATTATTGCGAATCTAAGTCATTTGGTTATTGTTCTCTTCCTCTAAGCAAATTAATGACTCTCTTATTAAATCATCATTTTTGGTACAGCAAGACCACCGATCATGGAAGTTCAGGATGGTGATGTTTCATCGCAGGCAATCAAAAGGAGATTGCCTCGAGAAGTAAAACAGAAGCTTGCTAAAGTTGCCAGACTAGCGGTAATGAAAGATAGCTCTTCGACTTACTATTTGTATCTAAGGATTTTGTTTATTTATTAATGTTTCTTTACTTGTTACAACTCATGGATGTTTATTTGGAATATCCAAGAAAATTCTTTAACCATTTCTTTTGGAAATTGTAGCAGTCAAGCCAAGGAAAAATTTCAGATGAGTTAATAAATCGTCTTATGAGTATTCTCGGCCACTTGGTGCAGCTTAAGACATTGAAGGTATTTCTTATTTAAAAAGATAATCTAGCTTGCATCTCACTGATACCTATTTCCGCCCCCAAGCCTACAAGTATGCCAACAGTTGCGAGAAGGCTTTGATGATCACGACAAACAGTTGTGCTTGCTAACATGTAACTTGCTAGTTATATATTAACTTCATGCCTCGAATATGTTGAATTGTTTATATGCAGAACTTCCCTTACATTATCAGTCTGAGATCTGATTTACCCTTTCTTTCTTTTCTGTTTTTGGATTGGGTAATGATTAACTTTATTTTCCCCAGTTACAAGGAGAAAGAAGATACTTACATAATATGTTTTTGTCACAGAGAAACTTGAAAGAGATGGTTGAATTGGGTTTGTCGGCGAAACAAGAGAAAGATGACCACTTCCAACAAATAAAAAAAGAGGTCGTTGAAATGATAAAAATGCAAGCTTCCTCTTTAAAGTCTAAGGTAGGTATGAGTGAATTGTATTACATATGATTCCAACATGCTCTCTTGATGGATCAAAATTTGAAGGAATGTTTGTTGCCATTTATCCATACTGAGGTATATCATACGATTGTACTTCAAGTTCTTGTTTTATCAATACATGGATGGGTTTGAAACTCATTTTGAAGGATTTGCTTGTTAAATTTGAAGGACAATCCTGTGATGTAGCCAGTAATCTTTGACAAACATGTCAGCGTTAACTATCAAACAAAAGGCAAACTTGTTGGTGGAAGGGGACTCCAAAACTCTAATTTGGTGGTTGCTGAATTTGGACCTTGGTCTTTAGACATGCTATAAGAGAGATAAATTTGCTGGCAAGAGAGGTGGGCACAAGATTTGAATGGGTACCAAGATCAGCCAATAGTATGACTGATACTCTAGCAAGGCAAGGTGTAGGAAGAAATCAAATATTTTAGGGAATAATTACCCAAGGAGGGATCTTGTAAGTTGTAACAGAAGAAAATGACACAGAGGTAGGTAGTGATTGCTTACCCAAAACAAGGGGTGCTCTGGCACTTGTATATTTTGTATAGAATTTTCATTCAATTAATAAAACTGTGTCTTCAAAAAAACTCTCTATGTTACTGATAAAAAATGCAGCCAGCAATATTTTATTTGTTCATTTTTCTGGTGATGCTTGTATTACATCTTTTATATGTCATCTTTTGAGTTTTTGCCTCTTGAACTTATGTGATGCCCCATGTGTTTATTCAGGTACCTGAGCAACGGGATGGAGCATCTGTTGATTTTCAGGAAGTACTTGACTCAGAAGAAAAAGGGGTCAAAGGAAAATATAGCATGGATGATGCTATGGAAGACAAGATTTGTGATCTCTATGACCTATAYGTTGAGGTACTAAATTGTGTCCATGATGAAGGGTCTTGCTTTTGTTTTTATAATTTGTTTCCTTTTCTTTTCTTACCTTTCAGGTTGATTGTTCTAGGGAATGGATGAAGACAAGGGACCACAAATCCGAAAGCTGTATGTAGAGGTATTTTATACTCATTTCTTGATTCTTACTTGGCTGTTCCAGGCTGGATTCAAACTGCACCATGCACTTCTCAGCTGGCTACTTTTGATGCATCTATTTTTCATTCAGAAACTTGCAACTTTTCCATATGCTCTAGAAATCAAGTTATCACAATTTGTTTTTACCCTTCCCATATTGGTTAACTTTTCCTTTTATCCCTTTATTTTCTGTTTTTGACTAATTGGCTAACTATTCCATCCCTTATTGAAGAGCAGTCACAGTTAGTTCATTTTGCTCAGTCTGACCATTTAGTCAAGTATTGGTGTCACATCTTTTGAATTAATTGATGCAAGTGTTGATTACTGTGGCCTTCTTGTACTTCTGTGACTGCTGGAACTGACATTATTGATTCTTACTGCACGATCCTGATTCAGCTTGCAGAACTATGGCCAAATGGATCCATGGACAATCATGGGATCAAAACTGCTGTCTGCAGATCAAAGGAGCGTAAGAGGGCAATGCTTAGCAAACATAAGGTATTGCTCCTCTCACTCTCTCCCCCCTACCTACCCCCCCCCCCCCTTTTTTTTTCCATATTTACTCCTAAAACATTTCAGTTGACAGAAGGGGTATTTTTTGATTGGTAGTAAACAGTTTTATTGCTTTATTTTAAAAATGAAGATTTAATTACACATTTATGTTCCTTGCACCCCTTTTAGATAGTCAGCCTCAGCTAAACCCCCACCCATCATATATTTTCTTCATGTGGTATGGCATCCCAAAATATTTAACTTCTACAAACCCCAATGTTTTTTAACTGGCCCAGAAACAGAATTGCTTTTCTGTTTGGGTAGTGTGTCAGCAGTTTAGCTGTCCAAGTTGAACAAGTCAACCCGTGACATCATAAATTAAATAAAAATATAAAAATAGATAAAAAATACAGAAAATATGTAGAAAAAAATAGGCATGCCTCTAATATTATATATTCATCATATTAAACAAAAATAAATATGATAAATGAGAATTATTGATGAAAAATACAAAAAAGAAAAGAAAAAGTGAACAACTTATCTGATCCTCAACCTGTTGACTGGGTTAATTTTTTTTGTTACCTAGTGTTTAGGGGTGACATGGACCCAGAAACCTGTCTGGGTGATGGGTCTATCGGTTTTATCGGAGGTTAAGCCGCTGAGAACATTGAAACCCAAGATTTTGCCAGGCCATCAGCAATGTGGTTTGCTGTACTTGGATCCACCTAAATTGGATACCGAATTCCATTGAGAGGAAGGAATATAAGCATCATATATCTATGGCAGCACTTAAATGGCTTGACTAGGGGTGACAATTGACCGGTTTTGGATTGGATCCAATCCCAATGCGATCCAAACTTTATCAAATCGGATTTGGACGGTCCATTATAATTATTGGAGGGTTGGGGCAATCCAAAAGTCTGAATTGGACCTAAACCAATTTCCAATAATCCAATCATGAGGCCAAACCCTTGTCCAATTTGGAATCGATCAAAACTGAAGCCGGCATAAAATCACTCTTATGAAAGTACTTTTACGAAAGCACTTTTACAAAAACACTTTTATGAAAAGTACTTTTACGAAAGAACATTTACAAAAATACTTTTACAAAAGCACTTCTACAAAAGTACTTTTATGAAAGCACATTTACAGAAGCAGTTTTATAAAAAAACACTTTTATGAAAGCACTTTCATAAAAGTGCTTTTACAAAAGTACTTTTATAGTACTTTTACATGAAAGCACTTTTATGAAAGCACTTTTACAAAAGAACTTTTATGGAAGTACTTTTATAAAATCACTTTTATGGAAGTACTTTTATAAAAGCACGTTTACGAAAGCACTTTTATGGAAGTACTTTTACAAARCACTTTTACGAAAGCACTTTACAAAAGTACTTTTATGAAAGAATTTTAACAAAAGCACTTTTATAAAAGCACTTCTACGAAATTACTTTTATAAAAGTACTTTTTCAATGCCAAAAGGGTATATTTTTGTAATTTTTTATATGTTCTCTTTTTTTTTATATATAATTTTTGATATTTCATTCGGTTTGGATTGGATCCAATCCAGCCCATTTATATTTTAATGGATTGGATTGGATTTGGTTTGTATTGGATTTAGACTGGATTGGGCCCAGTGATTTAAAAGGCGTGCCTAGGTGCACAGACGAGGCGCATTTTGGGGTATGCGCCTCACCCAGGTCCTAGGCGCACCCCTTTCAAAAGGTGTGCGCCTGGTACGCCTAAGCGTGTGCCTGATGCGCCTTGCGCCTGGTACGCCTAAGTGTGTGCCTGATGCGCCTTGCGCCTCAGCCCAGGCGTGCGTCTTTTTAAGCTCCGAGAACCCCCTATTTGCTGATGTTGTTCATTCATTAATTGCAATAAAATATCTTCTTAAAAGGCAATGAAAGTTATGAGAAATAAGAATTTTAGACCCTAGCATAGACTTGTTTGGGCTTGCCTCGAGGGGCGTGGTACAAAGGTGACTCATAGAATCAAGAATGCGATATGTTTTAAATCACATTAGTTACTTGAAGCAATGCAATTAGGGAAAAAAAGAGATTGTGGGTTTTACATGCTTGAAAATGCTTTATATGTTTGCTTTTATTTTTAAATTTTCATTTGAATACACTTTACATGTTATGTTTATGTATTTTAATTTTAGATAATAGGTTTTTTTAAATAATTTATTTTAAAATTTAAGTTTATATTTTTATTAACATTATGTTTAATATTTTTTTGAATTCTTTGCATTTTTTAATTTTTTTTCCTTTTTTTGAATTCTGACTTTTTTTTTTAGCTTTTTTTTTGTAATTTTGCGCCTTTCTTAAAAAGGCGCACGCCTCGCCTTGCGCCTCAGGCGCAAATTGGCCCTTGTGCTTTTTTTGTGCCTTGTGCTTTTAAAACACTGATTGGGCCCAGTCCATTTGTAAGTGGACTTACATTGGACTGGATTGGGTTGGACCAAATCCAGTCCAATTGACACCTCTAGGTTTGACAACCTTTGATACTAGAGGATGGCTAGGGTGCAACTTGGTTTGTGTTGAGTTGAGCATTTGTTAAATTTGGAGTGGGCCTGGGCAAGCTCAACGTGGTTGAAAATCTTCAAATCAGCAACCTGATTTGCATCCCTAAAGGTGGCATCTGAAAGATAACTAAAAAACATAACCTGGAGGTTACCTTTTTGATCAATAACTCATGTCAAATATAATTAATTAATTATCTTGTAGAAGACTAACAAAAAATCTGTAAGTTAAATATTAGAATTAATAAAATAAAAAAACCTAGTGTATATGCGTTTTTTAGTTATTCAATTATATAATATTGCAGATTTTTTGATGATGTAACACTTCCATATATCCACGATAATAACTTAAGAAGAGCATAATGCAAATTTCTTTTTCAAAACTAAAACTTAAGAGTCTTGAAGACAATAAAAAATTAAAAATCACAAGTATTTCTTGTAAGTGGAAGAGGAAAGAGACAAGAGAAATGAATGATGAGAGTCAAAAAGTGAGTGGACAGCAGCCCCTCTTATTATTTATAATAGGGCAACCATAACAAGAGGGGAAAAGACAGAACTACCCCCAAAGATAAAAGAACATAAAAACAGTATAAAGACAGTACATAAAGAGTAATACACACTACAACACTCTTCCTCAAGTTGTGTTATATACATCAATCATTACCAATTTGTTACAAAGTCCAACATGATGAGGAGCAAGAACTCCTTTTGTGAGGATATTGGCTAACTGATTTGTGGAAATAATGTAGGAAGTACAAATGTCACCCATTTCCAACTTCTCTATGATGAAGTGCTTGTCTACTTCAATTTGCTTTGTTCTGTTATGAACAATATGGTTGTCAGCAATACTAATACAGCCTTATTGTCATAATATAGGGCAACAGGGTCAGCCACAGGAATTCCTAATTCCAGAAACATGTTCTTCATATTGATAAAAAAACATGTTCTTCACCTATAGTAGTCTTAGTTACTCAATGTGCCATTGGTTACATAGGGTTGGCAGATTCTTTAATCAAACAAGGGGTACATAGGAATCAGCTTTTATGGGCTCAGTTGTAAGCTTTATGATATAGTTTAGAGGTGGCACCTCACGCCTCTTTGTGGGGTTAGTAATATGTATCCTTTGTGTTCTTATTAATAAAATCACTATTATTCATAAAAAAAAGGCTGTTTACATCATCTGAACACAGTACAGGTTTGAAAGAATATTCAACCTTGGTATTACTACCAAGGACAAAGAATTAAAAAGGAGGGAAGAAGAGAGGTTGTGATCAGACCAATTCTCTTCTGCTAATCCACCACGCGTGAAGAAATAAAAAAGGAATAGTGTGTAGTAGCATAAAGGAGGTTCTTCCACTTGGATCTAGTGCTCTGATACCATCGAGTAAGTGGAAAGGGAAAGGTACAAGATAAATGAATGATTTGGAGAGTTAAAAAGTGAGTGGATGGCAGCCCCTCTTCTTATTTATAATAGGGCGACCATAACAAGAGGGGAAAAGACAGTCACAGAACTACTCCCCAAAGATAAAAGCATGGTTTAAAATGTTGCGACATTTCGGTAATGTTGCTCGACATATGTCAGTGTTAAGACCTACTGACATGAACTCTTCACTTGGAAAAATACAAAATGTCGGTTGATATTTCGGCCACTTCAGTAAATATTGCCTATATTGTTCAAAAAAAAAACAAAAAACAGTATAATATTTTGAAATCTTTCATGCAAATGTTGACAGCTCAGCACATATTTGAATTAAAGATAGAGAATCAAATTTCATCTCAAATAAAAAAGAAAAAGAGAGAGATTAAATGGGGAACAAAGAATAAGTTTTCAATGAAGCTGGAAGAACTACAACTTCAGGCTCGAATAGGCACAAGAATGGCTTCTACCCTTGGCCTTGTGCTGAAATACCTTGTTGGAACAAGAAGCAGGACACTGGACATCTAAAACTCAAAAATTGCTCTCATCTCACTCTCAAGTCTCAGTCTGATTCAGGTATGCAAGACTATTCCTGTTTCTCTCTCACAGTGAATGACCATGAAAAATAAGGGGAAAAAAGAAAAAAATGAAGATGAGGAGTTGAGGACTCAAGGTCGAGGAGAATGCTTATCTTCATCTTCCTCTTCTATTTCTTCATCTTCATCTTCAGATTCCTGAAATTCCCGCACAGTCATCACAATTTTCACAGCATCTTTGCGTCTTTCGAGTCTTCAAAATTTCAGGTTGAGGGTTCGAATGACCAATGAACCCTTAAGCCTAAATGTTTAAGTTTATGTTATTAAAGACATGCTACAGTACATGATGGTCTATTTAAGTCTATAGACCTTTTACAATAGCAAGCCTTTAAATGGAATCTTTAAAACATACCTACAAGTATGTTACAGTGCAATAGGGTCTATTGTAATACTATAGACCTCCTAATAGAAAATTAATAGAGAGAATCTTTAATATATTCTTATAGTCTTATTACAAGTACATGAAGGT